TGCTGAAGAACATAAAAAAGATAGAATAATAGAAAAACCACATCCTTCTAGATCGGAAAGCCCCCAAGCTCAGAAAGAGACTTTGAGTTATTCAATTTTAAGTGACATGGATATAGAAAAATTTATGCCGAATGGAAAAAATAATATGGATTCCAGTGAAAGGAAAAGAAATCGTTCTGCAGAAGACAGAGTGTGTATTGGTTCTGAAATAAAGAAACCGATCTCCAGAAAACGAATGATCTCTGAAGGAATTCGATTTTCAATTATCGGAAATCATCGACTTTATAATGAAGATAGACGCTACTCAGCACTGACGAGTGGCCAAACAGCCCGAAACCGATCTGCAAGTGTGTTCCAATAATTGAAAATCTATTGCGGCAGTTGTATCGCCAACAGCATATGCAGGAACAACTGCATATGCTGTTGGATATTATCCAACGCCCTTCGTGGTATTAGCCAGGGGAGTAGTTGTTTTCTGATAGGTGTTAGCCTATCAACCTACAGTGTAGGAACTGGCCTGAACAAATTGTTCCTTTAGATGATGTGATAAGAGAAATCAATAGATAAATCGTTGATCTGGAACCAGTAGAGAAACTGCACATCCAAGAACCGCTAGAGACGATACCCAAAGAGTACCACCACCGACAGAACGCCTCATGACAGAATCCTAGGTCAGTTTTCAAAAACATTTTCTGGAAATATTGTTTTCGAAACTATATTAATGTTGGTCTACTATGAATAGTTACTGCCTAAAACTGAACATGTACTGTTGTAGCCAACCAAGAAATCCAATTGAAAATGACTCAATTGGCAGTTCTAAATTCCGAAATTGTCCATTTCAATATATCAATGATGTCACAATTTGAAAATATTTGCCCTCATACAGGGATCTCAACAAAAAATCACCAAAACATTTTTTTCTTTTCAATGAAACAGTAGTTTATTGTGTATCTTTTAGAATTATCTCACAATATCATTTTATAAATTATAAAGGCACGATTTCAACGTTTTACATTGCAATTAGAAACATTTATACAAATTAATATCAGAGTGATTGGGTATAAGTTATACCTTTTGCATTTCTCCAGTTTTGTAGAATTTCATAACTTGTTTTGGATACAGGATGTCGCCTTTTAAATTATTTTGACAACCTTGAGATATTGAATTTTCCTATAATTGAAAAAAGATCCATTATTTCAATAAATTTTTTTGAGAAACAACATTTTTAGAAGTATTGTGTATCTAACCAATTTTCGTGGGGATAGGCCTGGGCCTATTAGTAACAGTAATAAATATACCAATTTGTAAAATCAGTGTCTATCATTGGAATTGATTGAAATTCAAACTGTTTCCAACACTAACTGTGTGAATACTTTTCAACAAAAATTGTTATGAGAATCCTTCGGAACGAGCTAATTTGAGATTTAAACCATCTCAAGTTAATTTGTGGATGTTCTGAATCTTAGCTTGAATTGAACATCCGGCATTTAAGATTTTGTAGTTGCTAGATGCAAGGAATCCTGTCCAAAATATGATGCCATTTTTTTACTAGAATTATGAGAAAATATTTATATTGTGGATGTTCCATTGAAAAAATATTGAGTTCAAAATGTCTTTGTGAAGATCCCGTAATTCGTAGAATAATTTTAAATTGTTGTCATTCATTTGTTGCCAGAACTTTTAAACAATGCTATGGTTGTTTGTTCCAATTAGTAGAATAACTATTTTCTGCAGAAAATCCATCAACCAAAAGGCATTTTTAGATGAAAAGTACTTAATGAAATGTGCTGATCAAGTACTCAATCTTTGTGACGAATCTCGCATTAAACATTTTATATTTTTTCAGGTCATCTTATGAATTGCGATGGTACAACTAGGGTAGCTTCTTCTACTCGGTATTTTGGAAATCCATTATATCTCGTCGCCTAGGCCACACTTGTCTCACCCGTGGGTATTTATCTGGCGAAGAACCCCCAGTATGTGAAGTGTTATGTACGTCTTCAAAGTATAAAACATATTCCACCCGAGTATATCACGACGAAAGATAAAATTATGGCTTCCCTTCATCACTAAAGGCCATATTGTGAGATGAATGTAATGTTAATAATCAGTTAGCTTTCCTCAGGAATATCAATATGTTAGATGTCTCTGAATTTTCATGATTACCTTGATATACCATTGAAATTACAAGATTAGGACAACCTACATGACTTTCAGTACCTACAGACCTTTTCCCATTTTTATCTAGGACAAGAAAAAACCTTTTTTTTAAAAAAGGGTGGAATGTAGTAGAAGTAGAGNAGGGTGCCGTAGACTGAGAATTTTCGTCAAAATATTTTATTTAGGAAGAGGTTTATATGATTACACCATGGTATTTCTATGCATCTTGATGAGACACATACAGTTTACATTCATTGAAGTTTCGAGCTCCACGGCAAAAATTCGAAATGCAGAATAACAAATATTTTGATGAAATATTTACAAGATGATTCACAAGAATACCGGAAAGTACTTTTCAATATTTTTCAAGTATTTTAAACTTCAAAAAATATAATGCCAAACTAAAGACTTTCGACACTTCTGTACTAATCACTTTTGTTGTTTCAACGAATGCTTTTGCTGAAACCGCGTGATATCAAATAACTCAAATGATGCAATAGGGGAGATTCAAGTTGCAATAAATCGAACTGTTGAATATTTATTGAGCAATAAACTTGTCCTAAATGTAAATAATAGCTAAATGATGATAATTATATCTAAATATAAGTTGAATAGAATTGACCATCATACAGTGAACATCAAAATAGAAAATGAACATCTTGAAATTATTATCGAGATGAAATATCTAGGTTTCATGATTGATAGAACACTGTCACTTACCCCTATAAAGACTACGCTTGATTCTCTTCAGTGGTTATCTCGAACAGATTTTATTATCTGAGTACAGTTTTTACATTCAAAATAATAAAGGGTATTCAACCTAGCTATTTCAATAAATTGAAGTTAACAATGAAGTCCACAAATATGACACCAGAACCAATATAAGCTTCCACGTATTCAGGACAAACTCAAGGTCAGCAATAATAATCTGTTTTTCCGAGAACTAGTGGAATTTAACAAACTTTCTGGTTCTTTGAGAAACAACAGAAGTATTCACACTTTGCAGCATACCGAAGAATATAATGAATTTTAATATATGCGTTTGAATGCATCTGTATCTATACTTATTAGTTTGATTTATTTTTTATGACATCTATATAATTCTCATTTTCAATTATTCAACTACTTATTATCTTGAATATTACTGAAGTTTTTTCCCAACACCAAATCGTTATTTTTAACACCTGACACGTGTTTCGATCACCAAGTGATCATCTTCAAAGAGGAAGATTAAAACTAGAAACTCGTCTAGAACAGAAACAGTGTTTCATTCCGAAACATCGCTGTCCGCCACTGATGATGACAGTGTTCCATGTAAGTGAAATTTTACCTTCTTCATATATTATATTGTGTGGCAACATCAGATTTAACTCCATACCGAATGTTTGAAGTTCAAACCGAACAGACTAAAATGTTTTTGAACGATTCAATATTCATATAAAATCAGTTGTTTTGAAAGTATATTTTTTCTTTCGTGTAATTCAATGTTTATATGAAAGTAGCTGTTTCAGGAGGACTTTCTTTCAGTTTGTGTCTGAAAGTTACTTCTTTGCATGATCTACACATCCATGTATAGAGTTACTTATTTTCAAATTGATTANGCAGAAGTCGTATCACAGTTACTTGAAGCGTGAAGGAACAACATTTTAAACAAGATTTACTGAATTATTTTCTACTTAAAATGCAATTAACGTAAAAGAGAATACAATTAAAATGTAATTAAAGTATATCCCTTAATGACTTTTTGAAATACAGAAATAAATTGCATTATTGAATTCATAGATCGGTTCATTAATGAAAAACATATTCAAATATAATGTATTTGCTGATAAAAAATAAAAATTATTTATGATTATTTATGAAATAATAATTTGTAAACCTTAAATGAGCTGATTTAGATCGGGACAACCAGTTGATTTCAAATAATATTTAATCTGTCCTTGCGCTGCCCTCTATCTCAAAAACGATTCAGCGTATGAAAAAATGTTTGAAACAAAAGTTGTAGAAAATTCAATTTTCTACAATAATGATGATGAATACAATTAGCATAAAACCCATTGGAATCGAGATATTGGCAGAAAACGTGCAAAAAGTTGTTTTTTTTTACTTTTGACCCCCAGTTTTTGAAGTTGCGGCCGTCGAATCATATGTGAATTTTGAGAATACTTTTATGATGCCAAAATACAAAGTTTATACAAATTTACAGCTGGGTATGTCCACGTTCCTAGGCAAACCCCCTAAAATGACTGGACTAGTAGTGAAAGCAGTATTTCCATAATTGGTTCAATGATTTTGCACATAGAAAAACCGTCTTTGATGGGTGATTCTGATACTGACATGAATGAATAGCCTCTTTAATATATCAGAACAATCAATTGAATTGTTCATAATCTTGTGAAGGAAATATATCATGGCAAGTTTACGTAGTTGATTCAAAAAAAGCTTATTCTTCCAGTTTGTTTCTGAAAGTAACTTCTTTGCATGATCTACACATTTTTTGAATTAACGCTTTCTTCCTTTCTTTGGAAGATTCCCACATTCTTTTACATGGAGACGAAGAAGTAGAAAACCAAAACCTTTCTTTTCGAGAAATTTCATTGGGTAGCAAGATTAGAAATTCAATAGCCATGTCTTTTTTTCCACTAACCTTATCAATACTCACTGTTTTCCTAAGAACAGACTCATTGTGAAGTATACAATAACAAAATAGGAAGAAGAAAAAAAAACAAGATCGAATCAGGAAAGTTGTGTAGATCAAATAGAAGTAATATTGCAGTCCATTTTCGAACCAACAGACTGAAAAAAGGTAGACAGTATAAAGAATGATTCTAACAACAAACTCTTCATTTCAACATATATTAAATGAAATGACTCGTTGATAAATAAATCGACATCAGGTAGAACATCTTGAGTGCAAAGACAAAGCAAAAACAATTACTGGAACTTATCCTCATAATATTCTCGTTATTTTCTCAGCACAGTAAAAAATATTTTTAGCTTGACTTATGAGCATCTCTTATAGAAATCAGTTCACATGCATATACCTAGATTATAATTTTTAAAAATATTGCAACTAATTAATTACAACATGACTTCGAAGTTGTAGCCTGTTGTCTTCTATCAACCATCACCCTATCCACAGGGTCTCCTGGTTCCCTTCCAGCGGTTTTGTCCAAAATTGCTTCTGCGAGGTCGCTAAATGCTCGCTCTATGTTGATGTTTGCCTTTGCTGAGGTTTCCATGAATCTAATGCTATGTTCGCGAGCAATCTGTAAAGTTCATTGCCATAAAAAAATAGTACACTACTTGCGGAAATTTTCATGGATAAAACATCCTTTGAATAAGAATTTATTGTATTGCCATAGGTATGTGGATGATGTTTTGGTATGTTTTACAGGTACTATGATAATTGGATACCTCATAGAGACAAATTTCATGAAAACATTAAATTCACTATTGAAGTAGAAGCAGACAATTCAAACTCAATAAATTTCTTGGACTTAACAATTAGTAGAATGAACAACAAACATGATTTTTCAATTTATTACAAACCTTCCTGTAGGTATATTACTATACATTAAGATTCTACCCTTCCTTATCAACACAAAGTAGCAGCTTATAATGGCATAATTCACAGATTAGTCAATGTTCCTCTTTCAATAGATAAGTTCAATAAAGAACTTAATATCTATCATCAAGCAAATTGTGGTTAACAATGGGTTTAAAGCCGAATTAATAAACAAAATACTTTGACGTTTTTCCTATTGATAAGGTAGATGATGGAAATTATAGAGCTTTAACGTATTTTGGACAAACAATGGATTTCAACATTTTCAAAAATATATTATGACTAATAAATTGAAATCTTTGGAAAAGTCTTTGCAAATTGAATCAAATATTCCCAAATTTCCCAAATATTCAACATTTTTTGTTCTTATATAAGTTGATATGGCTTCATTCCTCAATGAGAGCATTACCTAAAACAGCAAGATTTTGTAAAACTATCTGATCGTGTCCTAATTTGCTGCTATTTACCTGTTATGTATTATAATGCTAATGAATTATTCTATTAAACAAAAAATTCGATGTATTCGAACTCTCACGTCAAAAGTTTTGAGAAGTAGTAGAATTTTGGTTGCGTTACTTTTCTTGAGCCTCATTGTATATACCAGATCTGTTCAAAATAAAATGACAAATATATCAAAAATTATTCAAAGTCACAAAACAGGTTTTTAAATATCAGTGGAGTTTTTTCCCAACACCAAACCGTTATTTCAACACCTTGACACGTGTTTCGATCACCAAGTGATCACCTTCAAAATCTTCAACATTGATCTTCCTCTTGAAGATGATCACACCACCTCGACACGTGTCGGTGTTTTGGTTTGGCGTTTTTTTTCCCCAAACACCAAACCGTTATTTCAACACCTTGACACGTGTTTCGATCACCAAGTGATCACCTTCAAAATCTTCAACATTGATCTTCCTCTTGAAGATGATCACACCACCTCGACACGTGTCGGTGTTTTGGTTTGGCGTTTTTTTTCCCCAAACACCAAACCGTTATTTCAACACCTTGACACGTGTTTCGATCACCAAGTGATCACCTTCAAAATCTTCAACATTGATCTTCCTCTTGAAGATGATCACACCTCGACACGTGTCGATCACGTGTCGTTTCGATCACCAAGTGATCACCTTCAAGAT